TAAAGTCAACATATATTCTGTCTGGCAAAAGTTAGATTTTTGGTTTACATTATTTCTCTTCTTCCAATCACTCTTTCTGCTTCTTTAATCTGTTCTGTGGAGCAGTCAATGTTTTTATTTCTCTCACCCCCCCCTGCCTCCCCCCACCCCCCAGTTTTGTTGCTTTTTTCCCATGTATTGATAAGCTTCTGAGAAGTGAAAACGATAATGGATTTCTTTCCTCGTGATCTTGTAGGATATGAGCATTAAAACATTATCTTTGTAACTTTTAGCTGTGCTCACTCTTTCTTAAGCAAGTAATCCATGGACTTCAGGGTCACCAGGGTCAGTCCATTCTCTTTTGCCTATTTGGTGTATTTATTTTGATTTCACCTAATTTTGGGGAGTTATGCTTATTTTGCAACTGCTATATCACTTGGAAAACAATATATTCTTCTCAAAAAATAAAAAGAATTGGTAAGAATTACTTTTGCTCTTTGAGACCATGTTTCAAGTTTGTTAATATAAAAATTCTTGAGTTTGCTTAGTCTTTTTGGCCCTACTTTTAAATATTGTGCATTTCAGTGATGATGAAGTTCCAGAATCGGTCCCAGTGTCAAGTTCAAGACCTCCAAGACGAGCGAAAACACTGGCACTTGAAAAAACAAGAATGAATCTTTCAAGGCTTCTGAATGAGGAGGTGGAGAATTGAAGACAAAAGGAGAGAAAGTGCCCTTTGCCAATGCTGGTAGTGAACATCAGACTTGAAAACTGAGGCTTATTTTCTTGTTAGTCATATTTAACTCATTCTATAATTTTAGATTTCTAGATTAGTTTTTTTTTAAACAGTGTTTTTCATTATTTTACCTGAACAAAGAGGTTTTTTTTTTTTTACTTTGCAGAGAATGCTGCTTCTTATCTGCAGATAAAATTGCTGTTGGTGTTAAGTACTCAATAGTTAAAGCTGTTTTGATGTTTAACATTAGCAGAGGGTTTGACCTGTAGTGGTTGCTTGTGATGGGAGTAGTTTTGAATGTACCTACATCTGTGGCAGCCACTTTCTTAATTTTTATAAGGTTTTGTAACAATTAAACCTGGTCAGCAGATGCACATATTTACTGTTCATGTAAATGTAAAATAAAGTTGATCTTCATTGTGAATTCTGCTTCCTGCAGATACACAGTCATGTCTGTCTGTGTTCCATTATGGATAATTTCAGAGGCAGTGGGAGAAATCTTAACGTTGATTGCTTGACAGGTTCCTCCCAACTACTGCTGCCAAACACAGCTTTCGAAGGAACTTGCATTTGAAGTAGGTAAGTGTACTATAAATGATCTTTGGTAATTCTCAAAAAATTACTTAGGGACACAAGTGAAAAGTAGTGTTCCCAAAGTGTAATGCCTAAACTATTATGCTATTTCCAAGCTTGCTTATAGGAAACAAGACAGGTTTGTGTTGCTTTTCCTCCTTTGCAGTTTTTGTTGGAAACTTGTCAACCTTCAAAATGCCACGACATGCTTTTCTGCTGATATTTGATATTCAGAAGCTTTTGTAACTGTGGTACATTATTTATATTTGTAACATTAAACAGAATTTTGAGGTCCTGAACTCCCTCTTTTGATAATTCTTTTCATATCCCCAAATTGTGTTGTAGGGTGAGTTTGTGTACATGCAAGCACTTGAGATCAGAGATGCTCTCTGTCCCCTTGAATGCTGCCTGAACATAGTTCAAATGGGCAAAGCATATAGTTCAGTTTTTCTCAGCTGATTGTCAATCAGAGCTTCCCTGGGGCTTTCAAGTTGGTTGACTTGAGGAGGGGAGGGAGGGTGTGTTTGTTTTGTTTTTTTTTCAGTTACAAGTTCTCTCTCTTTTGCTCTTTAACCACAAATACACTTTCAACAAGTGGTGCCTGCATTAACCGTAGGTGCTGTGCTGTGGATGTGGCTTCACCAGTGTGTGTTCATCGGAAAGAGACTTTGCCTTTGGCAAACAGCCAACACCTGGGCTGCTGTGGGGCTGCAGTGAGTGCCTTGTGGGGAGAGGCTGAGGGAGCTGGGCTTGTTCAGTCTGCAGGTGTTGGGAGGACCTTCAGTTACTTGCAAGGAGTCTGATGAAGAGATGGAACTGGGCTCTTGGTTGCATATGGTGGGAGGATAATAAGCAGTGGGTATAGGCTGGAAGTCTGGCCAGAATATAAGGGGGTAAAAGGTAGTGGAATGGGTTGAGAACTGTTGGAACCAAGTTGCTTGGAAAGGCCATGTAGGCTCTGTTCTAGTTTAAGACATGACTGGATGAAGTCCTCACAACTGTCTGCCTTTTTAACAGGACATTTGTGATGTCCTTTTATGCCTGAATTACCCTGTGATCCTTTCAGGCTGGAAACCTGATCAGCAACTGGCACTGAATTTTCAGCCCCTCTGTGTGATTTGCCTGCCCAGCTCCCTGTAAAGGGAAGGGATTTCTGTGCAATAGAAAATGTGGTGTGCTCTTGCAAAATTACTTCACCTATCAAGGAGAGGGTAGCTGCATAATTGGGATGATCAGATGTTTGCTGTCTTCTTCAAAGCTCACTATTACTGATAATCACAGTTAAAACGTATGCAGCTGACTTTTGGAGAAAGTCACATGGTAGCAAAAGTACATCCAGAGGTGACGAGGACCCAGGTCTGGAAGTATCTTACTACTTGCAGTGAAAAAATCTTGACTTGGTATGCATTACTCCTTTTACTAAAATAATATTATTTACTGTAATTCTGTTGTTTGAGTACCTAACTTCCTGGGTGCTTAATTAAGGAGTAAAATTTTAATCCCTAAAATATTCTAATTGGTTTTAAAACAGCCTCTTTGTCGCTCTGGGCCAACTACGGTGTGACTTCTCTCTTTTTGCTGGCTCAACACAACAGGGTGTGAGACATGAGCCACACTAGACCTAGACTTGATTCCCTATTATTGATAAAATAGCAGTGGTCGCTTGTCAAACTTTAGGTGATCCCATCTTTATTCCCACACTGCTTTCTGTTTCTTAAAACCAGTTTTGTGATTGTCTCTTCAGACTACACCCCAGTCTTTGGCTGGTCACTCTCCCAAGCCGAAGGGTCAGGGCTCCACTGAGAGGGTTTCTTTTTCTAGTGGTGGGTTTTGTCTGAGTTCCAGCAGTGGCTGGTGAGCTTGGGTTGTGCCTGAACCAACTCCCCTCTGACCACTTTTGCATCATCAGCCAATTAAAAGTCAATGTGATTCAAATAGCAATTGCTGATAGTTAACAAAACCAGGCTGCTGCTTGGAGCTGAGAGAGACATGTCCAAAACAGAAAAGTTCTGGTATTTACTGGGTCTTTGAAAAAATCCACATGGCCTCTCCTCCTGTGGGCACATGGATAAGATGCCAGCTGCATTGGCTCTGATGTCCCTCCTCCCTCCTTACTGTTCCGTGTGCTTTGCTGGGGCTGCACCGAGTCAGTGCCTCTCCCCTGGAAAGTGTAATTCTCTTTCTGGCTTTCTTGCCACGTAGAATCCACACGCATTAAACAGTTGAGATACATAAAGACCTGCTAGACGGTGCAGTGTGATGATGAATGTTTATTCTTTTAATCATGTTCTGCACTGGGTGATGCTTCAGAGCCTCAGTATCCTATTAGGATCTTTGGGAGACTTACCAGAATTTGTAATGATCTTTTTATTTCAGTTACTGGATTGTACCTGCAAACCAAGAAACCTCTGTAAAGAGGAACTGCATCTTCACTTTCAGGTGAATCCTTAAAACCTTTGTTTTATTAAATACAGTGTCTTCCAAGGAAATTTCCTTCTGGAAGATTAGTTCTTGGCAAGCAAAGACAGAGAACTTATTAAGAAGTTGAATTAAGAAACCTCTACTCTAGCTCTTGAATGTATGACTCCAGCAAAGAGAAATATATCATATGGTTTTATTCTAACACTTTTGTTATAGTTCTATTAATAATAAAGTTTTGATGAATGAAGTACATGAACCTTGCTAAAGATCATCTAAGCATGGAATGTCTACAATGTAGTCAGCTACAACCATTTACTACTTCTTTGAGTAGAGTTTAAAACTTTGATTTTACATTGCATTTCCAAAGTACACAGAAAAAATGAAATAGGAAGAGCATTTACATCCATTTTAATTGGTGGCAGGCATGAAGTCATAAAAACAAATGGGGAAGAAAGACCATTTAGCAGAAACCTCAAAAAGTGCAGATACAGATTTGTTGAATGACAATCTCACGAGATCCTCCAGCGGGCTTGTGGTCTTTCTTTTAGACATTATGGTCATTAAACACCGTCACACAGAAGTTCTCAAGGTAAGTGAAGATGAAAGCATACTGCAGGAACAAACTGGTGCTTCCATACATTTCAATCCACTGGTAAAGGAGATCTCCTCAGATAATTTACCTTTGTACTGCTTTGCTTCGAGGTAGTCAGTCTCCACCTGTTACAGATTTGTTTGAATTATTACCATAAATCTTTACATGGTGTTCTATGCCACAAATTACATAATATATTAACTTTCGTGCACAAAAATAAAATTGGGAAATAATTAACTTTAAAGAACATAGAAAAATCACAATACTATTAAAGGGGAACATCCGATTCTGATATAAATTTGTACTGCAAGAATTTCATGATGGTCAGATGTGTAACTGTGTATTTAAAAAAAGAAAAATGTACAGTACATCAAACTGAATAATGCTAGTAGTATATAAAGCCAAATCACACAAGATCATTTCAAGATCAATGTAATAAACGCTGATTATTTTGCAGAAAAGAAAATCAGGAACAATGTACAAAATAATAGTGCAAGAACAGCTGCAATCTATTTGTTCTCATCAGTTTTGAGATTTTGGTTAAAAACTTTACAGCTGGCGAGAGATGCTGCTGAAAAACTCAGATTCCACTCAGTGGGCTGATTAAGGCACATCTTTATGGACTTCAAATGTTCATTTTCTGTGTTCATGTCTATTGAATTCTGCGGCTCCGAAACTTTCACTTGTAGCGTGCTGTTAGAAGAGAAGTGGGGGTAGGAGAGGGGAAAAAAATGAGAAAAAGTTTAGTACACTTTCCTCTTCCCCTGGAAACAAGCTGATAAGAGGCAAGATGAGGTGGTGGCAGATTGTGTGTTCTGGTGGTTTTTTTTGGTTTTGTTTTGTTTTACTGCACTATGTTCCAGAAACACTTGAGATTAGAACCTGACTGTGCTGTGCTCTGTGTTGTAAAGTAGACTGGGCTTGTTTGTGTTGGGATCGCAGAGCCACTCCCAGGTTAGTCTTCTGCTCACGCTGTTCCTTTGCAGAAGTGCAATAACAGGGTTCTGCAGTCTGGCCTTGCTTAAATTATCTGCAGGTGGCACTATGAAGGGATAGAGCAGGACCTGGGCAAGAGTTTGGGGTTTGTTTTTTTTGCTGACAATGTTCACTTGGTAGAGCCATGAAAGGTCTAACACATAGACAGGATTCTGTTTCAAATCTAGGAAAATAAGTAATACAAGAAGGGAAAGAAACCCCGCCCTTTGTAGGGGTCATAAACAGACTAGGACAGACATGTGGACTGAATCATTGAATAGTTTGGGTTGGAAAGGACCTTTAAAGGCCATCTAGTCCAACCTCCCCTAGCACTGAGCAGGGACATCTCAACTAGATAAGGATGCTCAGACCCCCATCCAGCCTGACCTTGAATGTTTCTGGGCAACCTTTTCCAGCGTTGCACCACCTTCATCGTTAAGAATGTCTTCCTTAATATATAAAGCACACTCAGAAGACAATTTCAATCCTAATTTCAAACCTCTTCATTCCTACTTTTTTTTTTATTGTCTACCTGCTGCAATGATTTACCTGCTATGTGCAATTCATTGTTTTTCACCATCCTTTTCAAAGATTTCAAGAACTTCAAAAATGATACAAAGTTGAAAATATTTCTGATTACTGAGATACTAAAAATAAAGTCATAAGTACTGTAATTAGGGGTAGGAGGTAAGCACCATGCTATAAACTACCCAAACAGTTTCCTAGCAAAAGAATATTTAACCAGAAAAAAATATCTCTTAATGGCTTTTACTTGCTGCATTTCAGGAAACAGGTTCATCACAGGACTCAGGTGCAAATTCTGAAGGATTGAATTTGCTGTAGTGTAGTGCTCATGAGTGTGCAGGTTAGCTGAGGATAGTCAGTCACTATAGGGCTATAACCTAAAACATACTGGCTTGCATTGCTCAAATACCATGGACTGACTGATTAAATCTTTTTCTCTGTCCTGGCAAGAGGGAAAGACAGCTTATATAACAATCCACGGATATTTTTCACGGATCATCCGAAACACGGTTTTAATTCTTTCACATTTTGACGCATGCTCTCCGGAAGGTTGGTGTGCCTTTCTGACATGGCCGTGAAACAGGCATTTCTCATTTCCTAACCCTAGTTCCCAACACTCCATAACTGCTGTATGGCTCCCGTTCCCTGCATTTCCTTGTGTCGTTCTTCAGCCTCTCTCTTGTCTCATTTTTGCCTTGTACCCTTTTCCTCTGGTTGCTCTGATCTTTTCCTTCCTGTAGGAAATGGAGTGCAGGCGTAAGTGATGGAGAAGACTTCAGCCAGCAAGATTGCTTTCTTGAACTTACAACTTCTTCAGACTTGAATATTTGCCCTCAGAAACTCAAAGCCTTTTCTTAAGACCATGGCATTGAGTGCATATGTGAGATAGTGTTCAGGCTGACTTCCCAAGTTGGCAGCTTTGCTCACCCCTATTGATTTTGTGCTTTCCAGCAAAACATAAACTCTCCTAACAGCTAATCAATAGCTTAATGGAGAGATAGGGCAGGAATAGTGGTGTTTGGTTTGGGTTTTTTTGAGAGTTAGGGTGGTTTTGGTTTGTGGTGTTCTTTCGTTTTATTTCTACTGTTTTTAAAGCAGGAGTCAGGTAAACCCTGTTTAATGCTGGGAAAATGCCAGACAGAAAAACATAAAGGTTTGGGCTTCTCATATGATCTGGCATGTTACTTCTGTATTTAAACTAGGAATTGTACCAACTTGGTATGGCCCATTTTCCAAACAACACTGCTAGTGGTAATAGAATGTATACCAGGATTTGGTGGAATTTGGACCATCATTGTGTTCCCACGAAAATGCTGAGTGCTATAATAGTACCAAACAGCACTTTCTAAGTAGTCAGCTCTGTGAGGGACTGTCCTACTCTCCATCTTTTAGGGTTTTTTACAGGTTTCTGTACAAGGTGTAAAAGGCTGGACTGAATCTACAAAAGTAAAACTGAAGTATGTGCTGATAATTGTCATGCAGTGATTTATTTACCTCTCACAGAAGAACTCTTTTGACTTCACTTTTGAAAAGAATGCATAAAAACAGGAATAGAAAAATGTTGTTATTTTTTTTTCAGTTCCTGGCAGAATACAAAAAGCTTAAGAGTTTTAGAAAATTTTATCTTGATAAAAATGAAGTGGAAAATATGTTTAGAGATCTGAATTAAGATATTTGTTAACTAAGAAGAACCTAGCTTTTCATTTTGCTGTTCATTCTTTTACCTGTAGTGATTTACTTTCTAGTTGTTGATGTAACAAGGTAAGAAAACTTTTTTGAAATCAGAGAATGCAATTTAAAGGAATAAAGTTAAAGAGAATTAGTTAAATTTCTCCAGCCAAATCCATCAATAGATTCTACTCTTGAATTTTATTTCACTCTGCTTGCAAAAGCTCCACAGGGCACAAAGCATTCCTTGTAAAAGAAAGATGTTATGCACACCAGCCCTCCTCTCGGGAAGAACTGCAGGTGCTACCAGAAGCCATGGAGCCTATTCCAGTAGAGCTTGGAATTAGGCTGTAGAGTATCCCTACTCTACATCTCTCTGGAGTTCCCTTTACCAAAGCTTGTAGCAATAAGAGGATGGAGGTCTCCAACTTCCAATACAACAGGCATTTACTGATCTTACATAAGGGTCTCTGAAATAGAATTTCCAATTCTGAAGCCATCTGTTTACCTCTCCAGCAATGATCATCTGTTTGGTTTTTATTCACTTGGGACTGCCTCAGTTAATCAGCTTCCATGCATGTGATTTTTGGAAGTGAGCTACAGGTGCTCCTATGACATGGGAATTTGAAGACAGGCCAACTGAGCTAAAAGCCCAGACAAAAAAAAGAAAACAGGCTTCATTTTTATCATAATTCTGTGTATGACAAACTAGTGAGGTTTCTTAAAAATTCACATTTTTCTCCATCTTAATTACACTATCCTCTAGCCCTTGCCTCTACTCTTGAAATGCTGGTTACATATTTACTGCTTTATTTAAATGATTTCATATTTCATCATGTATAATAATTGATCCTGATCCTTCTTGTCTCTTCTTAGAAAGTAAACAGAAAAAAGAAGATGGAAATCTGACTCTATTTTCTGATCTGAAACAAGAGCTGAGGCTGCCCTCCTGTGCCCTTGGCTCTCTTTGGATGCTGCTGCACACTAAACTGATGGGTCTAGAAAACTATCATTGATGACTCCATGGGCTTTTGTGTGAGTTCCAACTGTCAGTTCCCATATCACTAGAACTGAATCACCTCTGAATTTACTCTGTTTCAACAGTGCTGAAGAAAGAGTAAATTGCCTGTTATTCTAACAAATCACAGCAGCCAGATCAGAGTAAAGCTGATGGACTCTGAAAGTCCTATCTGGTCTCCCTGGCTAACCAGACAACCCTCTCTGTAGTTACATTTCCAGGCCTGCTAGGGCCTTAAAGCATCATCTCTCCCTTCAAAAATTTCCTGCTATCATTAGAGCAAAAAGAATTAAATAGAAAGGTCTTTGAATTCAACCTGCTACTAAAGTAAGCAACACGTGGCCTTCCCGTGCTCCTAAGTGCAAAAGAAAACCCTGCTCTTTTCTACACTTCCTCCTAAAGCTGTATAAATACCAATATTTATTTGGGAAATTTTGCATTTCTTTCTTTAGTTTTACCCAAATCATCCTGCTAATAGAAATAGATTTTTAATACAGCATGGGAGAGCAACACAGGCGAAGTTGACAGGCTGTCAAGCACAAAATGGAAATAATTTTCTTTGAGCTATGTATTTTCTGTGCTGTTTGGAGCCACATTCTTCAAGAAAACCAGGAATTCCTCCTGGCAAGAGGATTTGACACCTGTTGTATGCAAATGACAAAGTTTAAAAAATCTGGCTAGCTCAAATCCATACATTTCCTGAGTTAATCTGTGTCTATGACATGTCATGGCATGTAAAAAAAAAGAGAAAAAAGTAGGAAAAATAAAAAGTAGGAATAGGGAAAAATATCTCTTATCTCATAGGTGACCCCTCAGCATTTCCCATCAGAGATTACCATTAATGCAGTGCCTTTGTATGCTGTAAAACAGCTATGAAAGTATCACTGTAGGGTTCTGTTTTTCTAAATCATTTGCAATGCTTACTGATAAAAATGTCTCCTGAACCAGCTGAGAGCAAGGTCAAACTGGTTCCTATACCCTGCTGTCTGACAAAAATTCTGCAAACTGCACTTGTTAAAGGCCACCAACAGTGATGTGCAAACCGATAGCTTGGAAAGCATAAGAGCATCTCTGAGACACAGCACTGATTTGAGGCTCTTACAGCTTTCAAAATACTGAGTAGGAATAGTAACACTTTGGGAGCACAAAAAAAATTTGCAGAGTACTCAAACATTTCCCAAAACCAGAAATAGTGGAATACATCAGGTTAAAATCTACAGGGACTAGAGTAGTGTCAGCATGATTTCCAACAGAGACTGATTTGATAATGCAATGTATATTGAAATGAAAGTAAACCAAGCACGCAGAGCCTGATTGATTGTCTCTAAAATTTGAGCTCATCTTTCCACAATGCCAAAATGCAGTAACAAAAAAATCTACAAAGGAAAATTTTAGTGTCTCATTTCCATTTATGAAATGAATTCTCATTGTAATAAGAAATAATATATTTCAGCTGAGTGGATGGAATACCATTTGAAAATCTGACAGAGAGAAAGAAATGCCCTGGAAATTGATCAAAGCAAGCTGGGCAGATAAGCAATATATTCAGGGAGTCTTAAAAATTAGACATAAGACCTGGGTTTAACAAAGCTGGAGTACTAAGACAAATAAAACAGCAGAGTACCAAGACAGGTGGTGAACTGAATGGAGACAAAATGACAGGGATGGAAGTCAGAACCAGCCATAATCCCAGACTGAAATTATGGTGGAAACTTTATTTTGCTCTTCAGACTCACTCAGAAGCATTTTCTTGGTCAGAGGAAAAATAAAAGGGATGGGAAGAAAGAAAATAGGAATGAAATACAAAACATATGAGAAAGAGAGCTAAATGAGGCAAGTAGGAATTGGAGAGCACTTGTGGCACATCAGTGAAAGAGGATTATTTAGTGGTTGGTATTTTCTGAATCTATATATTGAGATATCCACACACTGTTCAAGCTTTAACTTGCACAGAGACAAAATTATAAGCCAAACAGCAGATAGTTGCATTTTCAGGTAAACTTTTGGCACGTGGAATGGATGGCAACAGTTTCAGAGTGCAGTTACAGAAATAACATGACTTTCTGCCCAAAACCAGTCAGTCGCAGAAAACATTCTCACTTCCTTACATGTAACAGATCGTAGGGAACATAAAAGGTTTAAACTCCAATTTCATTGCAAAAATTGGGAACTAAAACTTTTTTACAAAAGAAATTTATCAGACTTGCACAGCTGTGGAAGTACAGAGCTCCGTCCGGGTGGCTCCCCGAAATACAGGACAGATTGGAATACATGTTGACAAGTTTAAATATAGACAACACTGCTTCCCCCCTTTAAAGTTATAATTATTTAAAGCAGCCTGAGAAATTTATATGGAACAGTGATCTTTTTGGCAAGAATCACCATGTTTTGTGGTAATATAGATTATTTAGCAGTCCACAGAAGGCAAATGGTTCTTGAAGAACAAGGAAGTAAAATATTACTGTAACCTGTCACTGAAGTGGGCAGGAAAAAGCCATAAAATTTTAAGGCATAATTTACAAGTGATGATAGTATATAATCTGATAAAAAAATAGTATTTCTATTCTTCCAATCATTCACTGTCTTAAAAGATCTTGGAAACAAAAAGCAGCTAAGAGTCTAACAGCTGAAAGGAAGCATCATTCATTTTATGACAGACATAATGAATTCTTAGCATCTAGTGAAACAAGTCTGCCTCTGACCATCAGTTCCATGAAAGGAAACTACCTAATTTCCAGTTATTACTAGAAGTTAGCAGCATGCAAACAAATTAAAAATTCCCTAAACACCTGTAGTGCAGAAGAGTACTGTTGTGTTTGCATTAGAAACATACTACAACAGAAAAAAAAAAAAAAAGGTTTTGCTATCTTTATTCTACCTAATCATAATCAAAAATGGTTTTGAACAAGGCACAATAAGACAAAGGTTGGAGGTTCAGAACTACATATGCCGCTGGTTCAGGCTGCTCTCAGAGGAAGCAGAACGCCACCATCTCAGTGCTGTGATGAATGCAGCTATGGAATTCTTGTCACTTAAACTCAAATCTTT